TGAAGTAATTTCATGACTTAAATTATGTGACGAACTAATCACAAAGTTTCATACTTTAATTAGAGTAAGTTTCGATTAAAGCAAAGAATTTTCGGCCCCCGAACAACCGATCAATATCGAGCAATAAAAAAGTTTCGCCAACACGCCAAAAAAAAGAGAAATGCAGATAGTTTTTACGTACGTATAAGTCTTTATAATAGTTATTGTTCATTCATGAAATGCTTTTGTTAACAGGCGTACACGTCAAAATTTAAAAAAATAGCCCACGCAATAACTGAACAGTGTTATATATGTAACTCATGCTCTAAATTATTCTGTACAACATTAACATTTTTATAAGTGCACATTTTAGAAAAGTGATTTTTCTTTTTACAGTACAAGCAAATCTTATTATAAGCAGGACAGTTGTAAAGTTCCACATTTTCTACATGGTTTTGGATTATTGTACTTAGTTCCTTGATAGTTTGAAGAAGATTTAGTACTTTGTTTTACATGATAGTCTTTCTTACAAGGCTGACTTTTTTCCTCTGAAGGTCGAAATTTATTACGTTTGATAGCTTCTATTTTATTTTCTTCAGTTAAAGTTTCAGCTGAAGTTCTGCTAATTCAGAAGCTTACACATTTTAATACATTTCTCCAATGTTAACTGATCTTCCCTTAATAATCTATCTTTGAGATTTTTATTTAGAATTCCACTTACTATTCTATCCCTTATTAAACTATCTTTTAATTCTGCAAATCCACAGTTGCTACTTAATTTCTTTAAATCGGTTAAGAAATCATCAAACGATTCACCTACATGTTGTGTTCGACAGAAAAATATATGTCTATCAACACTTTCTTTGCTTTCGGTATGCAAAAAATTTTCGAAAGCTTCAATTACTTGTCAACATCCTTCTTATCTTCTTCACTTAAATTAAAAGTATTAAATTTTTCAAGTGCTTCTTCACCAATAATATGCAATAAAATAGCTACTTTAATTTCAGGTGATTTAGTAATACCACCAGACGCTAACATATAAATTTGGAATTTTTGTTTCCATTTCTCCCAATTTTCGCTTAAATTTCCTTCGAAACATAGATTACTTGGTGGCTTTAATCCATCCATATTTAATTTAGGACATTATTAGCAAATACGTTGAAATTGGACATTTGGAAGATTTGTCAAGTGTAGCAGTGATAAAGCAATTGAAATCAATTTTTGCAAGACATGGTGTTCCGAAAATAGTATATTCGGATAATGGTCCTCAATATAATTGCAGGAAATATAAAGATTTTGCAAGAAGATGGAATTTTGAAACCAGAACTTCAAGTCCAAAATACCCACAGTCTAATGGAATGGTTGAAAGACATATTCCAACCTGTCAAGCGACTGTTAGAAAAAGCTGTAGTTGACAACAAGGATCCATATTTAGTTTTACTGGAATATCGTAACTCTCCTATTTCAGATGAAATTAAGTCACCTTCTGAATTGATGTTTGGAAGAAAAGTAAATGGATTGATGCCTATAAAAGAGAATTTTGTCCAAGCTAAACGATATGAAGACCATAAGCAACATTTACTGAAGAGACAAACCTTACAAAAAAGTTATTATGATAGGAATGCAAGACAATTAAAACGACTGAAAACAGGAGATCATGTTTACATAAAAATAAAGGGAAAAAACTAAATGAAAGAGGGAAAATTATAGAAGAAGCAGAAAGACCACGTTCATATAGGATTATAAGAACAGATGGAAGAATTGTAGAAAGGAACAGAAGAGACCTTCTTAAAGGAACTAATCAGGAAGAGTTTTTGCAATACAAAACAACTATGAGAATGAAGTTTTATAGATGAACCCGAGATACATGAAAATAGTAGGAGCACTACAAATTTAGATGTGCCTGTAAGTCCTTCAAAATCTAACAGAAGTGTTGTGTCACCAAATAGTGAAAGAGGTATAGTATCATCAAATTTTTCAAATGGACATAACTACGTCACTCGATCTGGTAGGACTGTTAAGAAACCTTATTATTTAAAAGAATATGTTTAATTTTACTACTATTATTATTTTTTATAAAAAAGGGAGATGTTATATATGTAACTGTAACTGTATCTATTATTATCTTTAATCGTAGAGTAATGTAGAATAAAGTTTTTCAAAATTAAATTATTTGGCATTGAGGTACATGGAAGGCGCTGCGATCAACGAGGCAAACGGCTGGGCGTTCGCAGCGCTCCGTAAAAAAGTGCAAAAAGTTCCTTTCCCCTTGGGGATTATCAATTAAATTACTTTGAAATACTGATTTTTCTACAATACCTACACGTTTTCAAAAGTTTTTCAGTTGCGATGTTGATGAGAATGAAACAGCGGACAATGTGAGGAAGTACTACGAAAGGCTGGAATTTTAAGATAAGTACCCTTCTTTCATCTAAACTCAATCAAATTTCTATAAATATGTGCCTTTAAATCAATAAATTTTAACTTTTAATCTGTTTTTAGCATTAAAAAATACTTGAGATTGCTCATTGCCTGTGGCTTCCTTTGTTAAACAATTCCGAACAGACGCCAACGTTATCAGTTCACGTCTGTCGTCACTTACAGAGCCCCTTATCTTGCTTTGAGGAATGTCGTGAGAGGGAAAATAGGGGACTCACAGCATCGCGCTATTTCCTCTCGGATCCTCTGGATTCTTTTTTTTTTAGATCACTTATATATTTTTTGCCTTTAAATAATATTATACCTCACCGATTTTTTCTCATACTGTTCCTTGCTATCTGTTAAATGTCCATATGTAACGGATGGATTATTCGTCACTGCCTTAAATAAATTCTTAGAACTATCAGCTTATATAAACAACAGTGTCCCTCATTGTGTCTCTAGCATTAATTAAGTAGTAATAAATTATGATAGTAAAATAATAAATCTTGTAATAAATTATGATATATAAATTAATAAATACTATGTTTTATTTGTGTCTTTAATACATATACTCAGTAATTTACATACACACACACACACACACACTATATATATATTTTGTGTGTGTGTGTGTGTGTACGGTTGTGCTTTTGTATTGTATTTGGTTCTATCTTGTTTGTCTGCTGCTGTTTTTTGAAAAATGTATGAAAATGTTGGGAACGAAAATAGCATAAGTTACTTTAGTTAAATTAATATATACTTTGTATGATGACTTTTGTTGATATCTCAGGATGCAATACATATTACTTTGCATATACTCAGCATACATATTACTTTGTATTTCATGCTAAATACCTTGATACGAAGCAATTTAACACCGACAATATTTTTTTCCCCCAGTAACACATCTATTCATCATTACCAAACACACTCACCACACACACACACACATACACACTTGTGAGACACTATTTATTGTAAATGAAGACAAATTTTCCTCCTTTTAACTACACTCATGGACACAATCGTATTTTAGGATATTTTCTACTTCTTTTCCTTTTCTTTCTATAGGCCCCCTTTTTTTCCCTCTTTATTATTTTTGGGCCATTTATTTTAAATTTTATTTTGTCCCATCTTTTCTTCCTGGCCTTTTGAACTCGTGCAAGATGTACGAAGTTCCCTTTTTACTCTCCTCAAATACGAAATTGCTCCTCTTTCTATACACCTTTCCTTCGCACCTCTGCTTGATTTTTCGCCCATCGGTGCAGAAAGACTTAGCGGGTGCAAAACAAGACATCTGTCTACTTTGTCTGTCTGTCTGTCTAATGTAGAATAAACGATGTTTGTGTACATCTTGTAATCATCACTGAGCACGTACCCAACACATATAAAATACAACACAAACAGTTTTGAATATTTCTTTTAACTTTTAAAAAGGGAAAATGCAGATAGATTTTACGTACGCGAATCTTTTCCGGAACAAATTCTAGAAGGTTACTATATACGATCATTTTTCCCCAATTATCCTGCGTTTTGGATATGTTCGCGACGCTTTTGCCTGCTGGATGCTGATTGGTTGTTCGGGGGCATACTTCTCTTTTAGTATACGATTCTTTTCGTGGACACTTTTATGAAGAAGTGACAAAACACCTAAAAACGACTGTGGCCGTAATTCCGGGAGGATTGACATCCGTGATTCAACCTCTAGATGTCTGCCTCAATAAGCCTTTCAAAGTAAATGTTAAAAAATATTGGGCAGAGTGGATTAGTTCCGGTCGACCAACATTTACAAAGGGAGGCAACATTAAAAAATCCGATATTACATTAATTGCTCAATGGCTTAAAGATGCTTGGAACGAAACACCTCTGAAATGATTATAAAATCATTTAAAAAATGTTGTATTAGCAACGAACTGGACGACACGTAAGATGATGGTGTTTTTGAAAGTGAAAATGACGACGAAGGCTCTAGTAGTGATTGTAACAATACAGAGTTCGAGACTGAAAATATGAATGATGACGAGCCAATGACGACAGAAGAGTTCTATGAAATGTTTGGCGAATCTGACCATTAATCAGACGCTGAAGGATTTTGATTTTGTTTATTTACCAAGGTATTTTTTATCGTATATTTACTTTTTTTTCTCAGATGATTTTGAATAAATGTAGTACTTAAAAAAATTTTTTCGAGGTTTCTCGATCGATTTCGGAAGTGGGGGGTCGACTTATACGCGGGTTTCTTATTTTCTACGAATTTTTTATGTCGAAGTGGGGGTGTCGACTTATACGCGGGTACTTATTCGGTAATAAATTTTTGGAATATAAAAACACGTTTTTATTTACACTATTCAAAATCTTTGGTAAATTTATACAAAGTGTTTTATTCTGACTGATATTAAGGGATACACCTCCATAGCGCATCGTTTCCTTTTAGTAGCGACTTACTTTAGGACATACTTATTAACCGTTTGCAATATCTGAATTGCTATGGAAATACTTGTGGAATGTATAAATTCAAATTATCCGGAAATTAAAGTTTCGTGATAGTAAACGTCAGAAGAATTTGTCATTTTAAATCTGGCAATTTCATGTTACGCCGCCAAACGGTGTGTTCGATTTATGCTCGCGCTGAAGTTGGAAACTTTCATTAATTTTTATTACTTTATGCAATTTTGTTTCCTTGCTGTTTTGTACTCAACGTTAACAAGTAGTTTTTTTGAATGTTGGAAAACATCATTTTTCATGGAGGTTCCATGATATTTAATTTCAGTGTTGTCGTCGTAATGTGGTAGAGCACGAAAATAGTGTGCTATCATGTTGTGTCTTTTGGTGTATGATGAAATTCTGGGATTAATGAACGAGGTATACGTAACAATTTGAGAGTTATCTCATTTTGGAAGTTGGCTAAAAAAATGGTGAGTAATTTTTTAGGTAAAAATATTAACAAATGTCTGATCTATCAGAATATATCTAATTATGCATCTTAATGTTTACTATCGTTTTCATCATTATTATTCTGTTATCAGATTTTTTGACTACATTATAATATAGATTATTACAGTCTCAGAAAAAGATTTGTATTGCTATTGACTGTCAGTGTTCTGGAATAATCTGAAAAGAAGTATACCAACAATTCTAAATATAGTTAAGAACTATAGGAAGTTAAATGTAAATAAAGTTAAACGTGGTAGTAGGCAAAGATTGCATTTCTGACATCGCTGTTTCGATGTATTCGGAAAAATTTTAACATTTTATTATATTTTTCATGTATAATTTGTCTTTGAATGTTCTTGAGTTGTAATAGTATTATTTTTGGCGCTGTTTCAAGAAACAAATGTTCTACGATATAATAAAATACAAAGTGAAAGTGTTTGCATGGCAGAGTTTACCACAATACCGCTGTGGTTCCTAAATTTAAGTAACCTCATATTCTTCAACAGCCACTTATTAATATTTTGTAAAAGTGTTATTTATTTCAATTAGTGGATTAAATTCCATACATTACAAATAAAGATCAAATACGCAAGAGAATGCCATTGCTTATATATATTCTGTATTATAAAAGAGTGTTGGTCATCAGCATAACATGAATAATTAAAGAACTTGTGCATCCTAACATTTTGCAGCAAGTATTGTTTTATATCATAAGGAAAAAGTACTTTTCTATCACCACATAATACATTTGTACTGCTATGTAATATCATAATTAGATTAAGCAAGTGTTTTAATTTAAAAGACAATTTGTACCATTTATAAATGTTTTCATTCATTATACAAGGCTAGCCAGCCTAGTTATTTGACTGTTTGGAGAGGCTTTTAATTCAGGGATCTGGATAGTGATTAAATTTTACTGAAAAAAAAATCTGAAGAAACTTTAACCTTTCAAGGAAGTTTTTGGATTATAATTTTAAGAAGTGAAATAAAACTTTTCCATTTCATTTATAGAACTTTTATTTTTTTCTCATTGTCATTATGATTTTTCAACTACGTACTAGTCATTTAATTATTATGTGTAATAGTCATAATATTTTCACGACTATTACACAAACTAAAGAAACTAATTTCCTCCATGACAGCCTTCCTTCATAGCTTAGGTCAAGAGATGAAAGAAGTATGTCTTTATGTGTTTTACAGTGCTTCTAAAATGTCATGGTCCGTTGGCTGGCATTCTAAAGTTATGTTAGGAAAGAGGAAAAGCCTATTATGTCTTTGTCCTACAACTGTTCGCCATCAGGATGTGATGAGGCATTGTCAAGCATAAAGAAGTGTTTTCTGTGGCAGGCCTTTTTTTGATATAAGAAATTTTTGCAATGAAGGAACAAACTGCAGATAAAACTAGTCTTTAAATATCGTTCCATTCATCCAATCATGATTGATTACTGTATCAAATAGTTAGATTATTGAAGGTTTAAGTCCCATCAGTGCATTCTTGTATGTGTAACACCTGGACAATTTTCTATTTGCTAAAGAGCCTTAGTTTGAGCTCATGGCTACTTGTTGCATTGCTGCATGGCAGGATTGTAACTCTCTCCTTACTTCTTTTATAACCAAGAGATTATTTTTCTTCCCTGGATCAAAGCATTTTCAAAGATACATTTGAAAACTAGACCTGCCATAAAATGTTTGTGAAGCTTCTTTCACTTGTTGAGGCTGTCAACATTAGCAGTAAATCCTTGTTCTTGAAAATTCCTCATAGAATTTGAGAGCTTTCCTTTGTAGATGAGTCGTGAAATGAGTGTTCCTTTGCTCCATACACAAATGAAGTGCCTCACTCACTTTTTATTATTTTCACTATCTTTCATACTTTTCTTTTCCTTTACACTATCATTATATGCTCTTTTCACCTATGGAGACTCGATTGTGGGCCTTTACTTATTATACAGTCAAAAGTCTTTAATCCAGACTCTTCGGGGATTCCGGATTATTTGTTTTTCCATATTGTAGATCAAACTGATAAGATGGCTTGCAGAAATTATAAAATTAAAAATATGAAACCGTAATTTATGAAATAAAGAGCAATTATGATCTAAAGGGTATCAAAATTTACAGAAAAAAAAAAAGCTTAATATTTATTTGTTTACTTTTTTAAACATTTCTTTCAATGTAAGTTGTTAAAGTTGCTTCGTTTTATGTGCTAATACTTTATCTTTAATTCTATAAACAGTTTGTAGCTTTGAGGTCTGGATTATAGATAATTCCGGATTATGGACATCCGGATTGAAGACTTTTGACTGTAGTAGTTTGCCCACCACCAGAATCTATAGTAATTTCATTAAAATTTTCCCCTGTGTGCAGTCTCTTTAAGGAATCCAATTTCACTTCCATTATGTTCATTTTTTATCTTTTGTTGTTAGACATTTTCACTTGTACGGTTTGCAACACTTGTTAAGTCTAGAGCAGTGGTATCCAGTCGGCTTTGCCTTAAGGGATATTTTTAAATTTCTGATGTTCCTTACAGGTACCCAGTGCTTTATGTTTGGAACATACAAATTTCATTAAAATATGATTTTACTGGATGACTTCGTGTTTCCTGACAAGAAAAATTATTATGAACTTACAAAGAAATTAAGAACATTCACTAATAAAATGCAAATGTCTTATAGGTTTTAAATTAAAAAATAAACAAAAGCACGCGCTAATAAAGTAATACAAGAGAATGTAACTGTTAAGTTGTCAGATGTCTCACTAAGTCACTAACTTGCTGTTAATAAAATATTTGATTATTAATATTCTCTGACAACTTATTAAAATCGGGCATATTTTGATACACAGAATGTCAGCACCATGTTGTTTTCCACATGCTTTGGAGTGGACATATTTCTGTACTTTCTTTTTATTATTTTAAATTGTGAAGAAGCCTGCTTACAAAGGTATATTAACCCAAAAAGTGCTTTCACTATTAGTGCACACCTAAGTATGTTTTTGTATCTAATAGTGTCCATTAAATTAAAAAACTTCATCATTTTTATTTTCTGTACTTTTAAGTGTTATATCAGTACCAAGAGTAATAATCTCTAATTCAAACTCTGATTTGTTAATAAAATAAAATTTTTCCATTCATAAAGTCATTTATGTTATGGCTATTATTCCTAGAAAAGAATTTTTTGTGAACGGTAAAATTTCTCCAAAGGAAACATATCTTAGAAGTCTCTTTTAAAACCTGAGCTAAGTAACAGAAGTTTTTTAATATACTTAATTAGAATGGAGGATGGATTGAACATATTCCGGAATACTAGATGGATCATGCTTCAGAATAAATTCCACGTCTAGAGTGAATTTAAATGACAGAAATTGGTGACAATTTTTCTGCAATAAGTTGTTCATCCACAACTCAGTTTGAGCTCGAAAAGCAGATATTGAACTCATCATTTCTGATATGTTTTTTTCCTTTTCCTTGTACTGTTGTTGTTGAATTTTGAAGTCATATCAGCTGAAAATGCCAGATCAGCAAGTCACTCATGTCATTCAATTTTGAGTCATAATTACCTTTGGATATGAGAATTTTAATCTTACTCAATTTAATAAGCCGGCATTCCAACAAATCTTGTTAAAACTTTGTCTCGTCTGCATGGCAAATTACCTGTTATTTAGAGCATGAAGCAAATTTCTAAAAAATTTGATTCAAAGGCTGTCCTCGGATAAAATTTACAATGCATACAGTAACAGTTACAATGTGATTGAGATAAATTTAGCAGCCGAATAACACAGTGGTATGAATTAAATTTGAAAGAGGTGTCATCCTTCTTATAGAGCCCTATAAACTCAGTATTATCAGATGATGCACCGACAAGTTGTAATCATGACGAATATTTTTTTATTGGTATGTTCTCTTCTTTAACATAGCTTTTATCTGTGTCATATGTCTTACCGTTGTATGTTTTTTGTCAAAGTCAACACGGTTTACAGTGCTCTTTTTTCGGAAGAAGTCGGGAAACATCATTCTTGTAAACGTCAGAAATTGTGATGAGTTAGTAACATCATTAAATTCATTAAACTGCAAGAAAAGATACTCATATTTTTCTAAATCAGATCTCTTCTATACATAGATGTCATCTTTTATAGAAGAAATCATTTCATCCTTGTTTTAAATTTGTGAAATAAAGGCTCTGACATTGCTAGCATAGCTTCCTTCACAGTGGCCTAGTCCAGTGATGGCGAACCTATGGCATGTGCACCACAGTCTGCACGCAGAGCCTCATCAGCTGGCACGCGATTAAAGTATTATTTCCTTAATCAATAATCACAACATCATGAAATGTATATCAATGAAATGAAATGAAACTATATAATTTAAATAAGTGTTTTGGTCTGTTTTTGAATGTTTCACTTATTTACGTATTGCATAATGCCACTGGCATAGGGCCTAAGCCTAGATGAAAGATTTTCATATATTGCCATAGAAATGATATACATTTCATGACGTTTCAATTGTTTGGGTCAATCATATTATGTGTTACATGTAAAAAAATATGCCAAACTAGAAGCAGCTAATGTTTGCTAAATGAATTCAAATTTATTGCAAATTGCCGGTGAATTTTAATACTTTAATTGTTAAAAAGATTTTCTATACTCCAGGTCTTGAACTCTTACAAGTGACTCCAACAAAAAAGACAAAATTAAACATTTATAGTGGATGGTCATTTCAAGAGACCTAGACAGAATCATTTGGAGTTATTGAACGCAATGCGAAAGCATTATACATTCCATGCGGGGAAAGTGTTTTGTGTCGCATATCTAGTGTCAGAAGACACTTTAACACCAACCACAAGATTGTTGCCGAATTTGATGAAACTAAGTGGAAGGTGTTTATTGAAGGGAAATTGAGTAATTATAATTATCAGAAAGTTGGTTTTTGCAATTATCTTTTTAAAACAAACCATCTAACAATGGCCAGCTTTCTAATTTCCCTGTGCCTGGCAAAACATCGTAAACTGCTGTCCAATGGGGATTTAATCGGAGAGGTGTGAGATATGCCCCCCCCCCGAAAAAAAAAGGTTTTGGACACACAGCCTACTCAAAGAAAAGGTTTTGGCCACGTGACTCCAAAAAAATTTGCCACCACTGGCCTAGTCTAAAAATGAATTTTTATGTGATGCTAGAACATAACTTACTGTGAAGGACGCTTTTGTGCGATTCTTTGCTTAATTTTTGAAGGTTAAAAGGTTGCTTTGTGGAGCTTTTAAAGAAGATGTCGGTGATTGAACTATATGTTCATATAAAGCAGACCTAAGTGGATATTTACTATTGGAATTCTTATGAAAGTTTTAGGGTGACATTCAATGTTCGATTGCATTGGTACTGCTACTGAATGTCAAAAGCTTGGCCCATTAGAGGATTCATCCTTTGTGTAGACCCCGAACTAGCACTAGCAGCAAACAGGGCATTTTTTTAAAGCAGGCTCTCTAATCCTAATCCAGCATGCAGATAAAACTATAAAAATGGGACTGAGTGAAGGCGCAAGTAGATACCACAAATGCAATGTCCGTGTATATGGAATGTAGTTGTACCCTTTTTATGATTGTTTTTACATTAGCATTAGAATAAAGTTTTTGTCTGATAGTGATATTGTGATTGTGGCTGTTGGGTGTCTAAAGAAAGGGTTTCAGGTTACCAGATGCCAGCAAGCCAATGATTTAGAACTACTTCTTTAGAGGTAAACTGAAAAACTATACTCAGAAGGAATTAAAAGTTTAGTTTTCAGTACCTTACAGCCATAAACCTTCAGGTAAGCTTGCTAACAGCTAGCAACAGAAAGTAATGTGAATGGTGATTGACAGCAGCTGCTTTATTTTCTTCAGCCACTTTTTTTACTCAGAGGGCTAATAGGGCAGATTAAAATTTCCATGAAAAGCAAAACCTGAAAATTTTACAGAAATCAGCAAGTTTGTAGGAAGTTTCTAGAATCAAACTCGCAAAGAATTGCACAAATATATTATCATAACAAATCTTTGTACAAAATGGGAAAACATGCAGACATTTGTATGTATTACTGCATTATTCCATAAATATGCAATAATGCAGTAATTAAAAGGCAGTGATAGAAATTATTATAATTAATAGACTTTCACATTATTTCAAATAGAATGTTTTGCTGTAACAGCAAAAATCATGTAGCAATTTTTTAAAAAAAAGAGTCATCAAGTTACACGGAATGTTGAGGTAATGGGAAAGTTTGTTAGAGTTTACATCTGGTAAGTGCTGTTTAAACACATCTGCAAAATGCAGTGCTACTCAGGAGTTTAATTTTGTGTGATTCATTTAATCTTGTGAATGACTTCCATTCTATTAGCTGGTTGTAAATTCTCAACCAAGATATCTCTTTTTAATACTTGACTTTTTCAGCTAAGAGCTATGTTTTAAAAATCAAGTTTTAATTTTTGTTGTCTGATTACTTATTTATTATAGATATTGTCACCTAGAGTAATGCTTGGTTAATCAAAAGTATCCATTTATTAAATATGATGTTTCTGATTTTGGCATGTGTAACCATTCTTGGATGTCCAGATAATAAAACGGTTACTTCAATATAAACATGCATGGAATTTTACTAATTCTTCCTGAGAATTACTATTTAGCAATTCTCAGTCAGGGTATTATCTTGGGACTGAGATAATTTCTGGCTACTTCAGGTGTAATTACACTATAACAAAAAAATCAACACACCAAGAAAGAACAACCGATTGCTTTGAAATTTCGTATGCATAAATGTTTTGACCAAATGTACAAATGATCAAAATTTGTTGTCTAATGAATTAGTGCAATCTCCAGTGCATTGGAACTGCACATCCAGCAAATGTGTATAAGGAGCTGTTCTTGAACTGTTAAAAATTTCTGCTGCATTGCGATTTAGGATACTATTTAACAACTGAAAAAAACCCCTCACCTCAGGATTCGAGCTCATTACGAGCAACTGTCAGAGTTTGAAAGTGGATTGAATTGGATCATTGGATTGAAAGAGGTAGGTTGGGCAAATCGAAGAATCGCTCATCATATGAGTCGAAGCAATGCGGCAATTAGAAGATGCTGGCGAGAATGGATGGACAGTGGCAGATTTCAGCGTCATTATGGTAGCAGTCGACCTAGCCCATAACAGAACGGGAGGACGGAGTGATTGTCAGATTAGGCTGTCGCAGCACCTGATTCATCACTATCAACCATCAGACATGTGACCCGCAACACGATTGTCCACTCTGACCATTCACAGAGGGCTGATAGAGCAAAATCTACACTCATGCCGACCATTACGTCACCTGCAGACGGTCGAACCAGATTACAATGATGCTTGGCTCGATCAGGTTGGAATGACGCTGACTGGGGACATAGTCTTTAGCAATGAATCCCGCTTCCAACTGTGTTGTGATGATCATTGAAGACGTGTTTGAAGATACCCAGAGCAGTGTGCTGTTCCTGTTTTTGCTATTGCACGTCACACAGGCCCTCAGGAGTTATGGTATGTGTGCCATTTTCCTTGATAGCCAGACCCCTTTGGTAGTCATCAGAGGTATACTAACAGCACAGTGGTACATCGACAACATTACGAGATCTGTTTTGCTACCGTTCCTTTTGCAGTACCTTGGCCTTATTTTTCAGCAAGATAATGCCAGACTACATACGGCATGTGTTGCTATGAACTGGCTTACAGCTTGCCAAACACTTCCTTGGCCTGCCAGATCTTTCTCCCATCAATCATATCTGGAATATGATCGGAAGGCAACTGCATCTATCATGACCTAGCACGACAACTAGAGAAATACCCCAAGACACCACCCAGGAGCTTTATCAGTCTATGCCATGCCGTATGGCTGCTTGCATCCAGATTAGAGGTGGGTCAACACCTTATTGTGCCTATTACTTTGCAACTATGTAATTCTGAAATAAATCGTTCAGTTCTTCTGAAATTTTAATAATTTTCTATTCCGTACAAAGTTCTCCTATCCACCAATTTTTGTCTCCATCAAACAACTCCTTCTTTGTGTCGATTTTTTTTTGTTTTGTTGTCATTATCATATTATCTAAACAGAATAAGTATTGATTGATTTTTGTATGGCAAAATGGTCTAAGTAAACTACAGAAAAGATTTTATTATCATACAATTTAAAAGGACTAATATGCAGATTGAATTTTGAATGTAAATCTGAATTCATTTGAAATGTGAAAATTTGCACTTATTTATAAAATAACAACTATCCAAAGAATTTGAAAATTTGTAAGTAATATTTTTTGTTTCATTATCAAGTGTGATTGGATGTTGCTGGTCCATAAAAAATATACTAAATGTATATATTTTCTATCCCATCTTTACTTAAAATGATGAAATTGACTCCCTGTTGTTTAAAACTTGGATTAATATGCCAGTTGAAACTGGGCTGCAGTTTCTTTTCATTATAAAAATTTTTGACTGCTTTTTTTATTCATTGCTTTAACTAAACCTGAGTTAAGGACCGTAATATTTTGTGATGTCTCATGTGTTAGTTTAGATTTGTGCCTGTTTAAAAAATTATTGGTAAATTAGGCTATCAGATTAGGCTTATAAACTGTGGAATGACAGTTCAGTTTTTGGTGGCTATTGGGGTAAAGAGCTTGCATTAATTTTTTGCAGTGAACATTTTCTTTTGCTGTATTAACCATATAAATTATTTGCTGCAAAAAGAAACTTAAATCAAATTAGCAGGAAACTCACAAGAGGATTTTTTTTTTAATTTTAAGAATTATGAAAATTCTTGTGTACTTTTTTATTTTTAAAAGTATAAAAATGCAGTATTCTATGAAATAGATACTGCATTAATCACCAATAACATGCTTATTTTTTTATTGAATGCTGTTATAAGCTAGTTTTAAAGGGAAAACATTTTTTTATATGCAGTTTTTGTCAAAGAGCTAATCTTCAGAATATGGTGCGGTTGACAAGGTGACAGATGTTTAGAAGATTACAGTAAAGCAGAGTTTGGACTTTTAAACATGTTAGTGATGTATCCTAATGTACAGTCTGCCACTATGCTCCTTAGTGAGTAAGTACACATGTTGGACTATACATCTACTAACCTCGTGGGCTGTTGGTGATGTCAGTAAGTGTATGTGTTAACAACAAGATTTATTCAGTCAAAGGATTTTATTTGGGCACCTTTGAAATTCAGGATTTTTATTGAGATGGATCTTGGTGAGGTAAGTAGTGTATTTTTACTTTCTTTAACCTGGGAAAACAATAAAATTAGAATATAGGATTCCTCAAAATAATTGACCCAGTTTTTCAGCTGAGTTTAATTCTGCAGCTGTTGACCATATATCAATGCAATGTACATTAAATGAAGAAAAAAATTTTCAGGTTTTCGAATGTCACTAAAAATGTACACTGTTGTCAGTGTGATGCTGTAAAAAAATACTTCGAGAAAACTCCACTTGTATGAAAGGCCCTTTTATTTCAGTTTCTAAAATTTCATGTGTAATCTAGTTTAGATTGGTTTTATTGATGTTAATATGATTTGATTTGCTTAACAAAGAGTATATAGTGATCAAAATGTCCGTTTAATGGAAGAAAGATAAGTGATCAAAATGGCCGTTTAATGGGAGAAAGACAATGTAGTGCTTCTTGGGCGTGTCGTATTAGTAATTAATATGTGGTCTATAATGGTATGTTGCTTCTGGAACACATTTGTACATAAATTTCGTTGATTGATCAAACTTGGTGGAATTCCTAATTTTCATGCCCCATCTCTGAATGTATTACTACATTGTATACGTTCTTGTCATATGTGTGAGTTCACTTGGCACTAAGGAGCATCTGGTACCTTCTACCTGCATGATGTAGTTTATATACTTTATTTAATAATAACATCTCCCAATAATGCATTTTAAATTAATCAATAAGCATGGGAGCAAAAACAGTAAATCCAAACTTATTGAGATCTATGTAGCTTGGATAACTGGATAGACAATGTAAAATTTATTTTAGATTCATAACAAAAAATTACACGTGTCATTTGGGATAATAGTAACATTTGTCACCTCAAGCCCCTTTAAAATACTAAGTACTTTTTTTGAAAATTGGTTCTTTATTAATTCTGTTTAAAATTTTCACTAAAAAGACTTGTCTTCTCCCTCCTAAGGAAGGCAAAATTCAGCCGTTTGGTTAGTGACTGTATTTCTAAAAGTTTTTGCTTTGTTGAGATTAGGGAATCCTAGTAACTGATATATTTATGAAGAATTCTTTGCCAAAAATTCTTATGAATCTCAAGGTTTTTTTAAGGTTTATGAATGAGGGAAAAACAAAAACATTGTCTTGGTTTATACTATGTCTTCTTTAGAATTACTATCAGTTTAAGTACATGAGCTATTATTCTAAATGGGTTTAGTGTATGAGCAAAAAAAGTCAAGAAATTGAGAAGTTTCTCATATTTCAAATTAATCTCGGTTTTATGAAAAATAATGTGTTTTTTAACATTTCCAAATTATATAGCTGTATAGTATTGTACTTCCACAAAAGAATATTTATGTGCATATCTCAGGTGAAACCTTGAAAACCCGGATAAACATAACATGAATGCTGTAATATTGGTAAGTATATAATTTGAAGACGGGTAGATTTGCTTCATTCTACAAACAGTTTCTTTACTATTTTATTTCAAGAGGATGATCCTGAAATATGATTCTAGTTGACAAAGCTGATGGGTCGTCTGTGAAAGTTGTTTCTTCCCTGCAGTTTCAGTATAATTTAGCCTGTGTATCCATAATATTTATATTTACTTTTTTAATTATCATTTTAACATTATGTTTTGAGTTTAATTTGCAACTTTTTTTTTTTTTTTTTTTTTTTTTTAATTCCTGAGTTTTCTAAGAATTTGTATCAAATATTCTGATTTATTAAAAAACAACAGTTCATCAGAATTGAAACTTGAAAATTTTGCAATTTCCTGTTCTTAAATCCCATTTTCTATGTGCTGCCTTTCTCATAGGAAACACATTGGGGGGGGGGGAAGAAATCATCTTTCTTTCTTTGTTACTTTTTTTTATTAAACTCTTAAAGCGTGTTCTTCAAAATCCTTTGTCATCTTATTTTATCTTTCTATCACTTACAAAAATTCTCAGATTTTTGACAATTTCAGTTTTCATATCATTTTTCTCACTTGTCAGTAAAATTTCTTGTTCAGTCTGCCAGATCCCATTTCTAATTTTAATTCTTGGTTAATTTATAGACTATCATGTTAATACTATTTGAACTACATTTTCTAAATTAAAAGCAGCTAAAATTTCATATCATGGAACACTAATTTTCTGTTCTAAAAGATGAAATAGACATATTAATTAGCACTTATTATGAGATGGAAAAACTGGCAGTAGTTATTTCTAAGAAACAGTATAGCTTCAGCAAGATCTTTGTTGGAGGGCCATAGATCCGACTTCTTAAACTTCAGAGCTGAGAAGAGTCTTTTCGCACTAACTTGAGTAGGAGGAAGAGCTGTTACCGTTAGAGCTAACTTCTTTTAACTTTTCAGTATAGATTTTTATAAGTTCTAAAAGAAGTGTCTTGCAAGCGCAATCATATTTCTCTATTTCTTCAAAGGCCATGTAGAAATCTTGTTTGTATGTTTTCATTTTTATATCTAAAGGTTCATGGTTCTTTATTTTCATTCGCTTTGCCTTAGCCTTTTCAATATTATCCAGTAATATTTCTCAGAATCTAATTCATCACTGGAAGAGGATTATAGAGACTCAGTTGCAATGTCTGCAGTTTGACTGTACTGCTTCGAATTCTCCAATTATTCTGAGAATAATTTTATTTTTAAGTTCATAGATGGCTTTCCTTGCCTTTTTAATTTTTTCGTCATTCGAGAAAATTCAGTGTTTCGGATCTACATATATTGAACCTAGCAAGATGTCATTGTCTAGCAAACTAGTTTCTCTTTTCTTCATTGAAGAAATTTCCTTCTGCAATAAACCTTCTATTTCAGAAAGAATAAACATCTCATTCTTCCATTCTTGCCTCCTGTCAATTCTTCAGATTGCAGCTTTTTTGTGGCTATATACTGCGTAGAAAGAAGAGTTTCCAATTCTGCAAGATAATTCCACAGCCTTTCTATTAGTGAAACAATAGGGTTATCTACATCTTCTAAAATGTTCTTGATTCTAAAAACTTATTTATCATCAAATATGTACTTCCTTATCACGTTGCTTGATCAATAATTGCTCCTTTTCATGCTCACTTCCTAAGAATGGCATCTATTTTGGGAGTTCTTGCTGCTTACCTAAATTTACCAGTAAGATTTGTAACTAAATGTTTAATCACTAATGGCAAATATCACATCCATCCTCCTCCCTTATATTTATTTATTAATATGTCAATGAAATAGAAAATTACTATTTATTAATGTATATAGTCCATAAATAAAAATAATAACTCAGCTTGTCGTTAATTTTTTAAATTCATTTTAATTTCATTTCAAATTAAAACTGTCCAACAAAAACTGGAGCCGGAGTCGACCTGTTTTTAGTGACTCCAGCTCCGACTCCTTTTACCAAAAAAATCTGCCCCACTCCGATTTCGACTCCGACTCTATAGCCCTGTTAATTCCACTCCATCTCTTTTCAGCACTTTCAAAATTCTAAAATTTTAGATTTTTTTTTTTTTTTTTTAATTACTGTTTTCTTCAACAAATGGCTCTAACAAAAGTTCGGTTTCACGTGATTCTACCCTTTGATGATTTTTAGTGGCTATACCTTCTCCAGTGTAACCACCAAATATTTTGCTTTTGAAGAAGAGGGACTTGTGTCTGGTTGCTATTGAAATTGATAGAGTTTTACTTAAAATCTTTAGCAGCCTAAGATTGCTTTTTCTGCCTAAATTAGATTTAACCCTTTGTTTCCTACCAGATTTTAAAGTCCCATTAATAAAATCACTCAATAGGACGTAAATTTTCAGTAAGATTCCACTGAGGCTTTAAAAATCCCTGCTGTTTTAAGTTTTATTTACCAGAATTAGATGGTGATGGGAGCTCAATTAGTATTTTAACTGCTAATTCCTTGTCTGAAATGGCCAGTTTGGAGGAAGTGCTGTTGCTTAATTTTTAAGCCTTGGATCTCTGATTATGGATGCTTAATATATTTCACTAATCTTATGATTAAGTTTTGAGATTCAAACCTTCATTTTTGAGTTAGGAAAGATTTTTCTTGCAGGACTGCAGAGTCCTTTAATTTATGAGCATTGTGTATTTTAGACTTTATTCATTCTTTTTATTTAGTATATTGTTTCCTTTCAAATGTCAAGCTTAATTTTTACAATAAATTATATTTTTTCATTTAATTTTGACATTTTAATTTTTTATTTGCATTTTTATTCATATTTTACTTTTTTTTACAATATTTTTTCATCAATTAAAATTATTGAATATCTATAATCTTTTTGGAATATGTGCATGTGGCACAGTAAGAAGCAATCATAAAGGCTTGCCAATTCTGGCCCAAGATAAAACTTTGAAAAGAGAATAGATTTTGACTTCCATATTATCGACAAAAGGTTTTATTTCAGATAAAGAAACAATCGTTCTGTATTCGTTTTCTCAAATTACCATGGAACCGAGACATAAACTGTTTATATATATATATATATATATATATAAAATAAAAAATAAAAAAAAAAAAGAAAGAAAGAAACTTGACGTTTTAGCCTCCATAGTAGTGAGGGACTGCAAGAGGCACGTGGGTAGTGTTTACAAGAATGATATGTTGAAATCTTTGTGTGAGAGAAATCAGGGGGGAGATTAGTGGCACCACTGTTTTTTTTTTTTTTTTTCTTGTTATTGTATAGAGTACAAAGTTGTTATTTGTGTACTTGTTATTTGTATAGAGTGTATTTTGAATTAGTAGAGAAATTTTGCCATTTCTTCAGTATAAAAGAAGAGTGACACTAGGACTCATTACAATGTCATCTATTGTTCCCAAGAAATGAAGAAGGCGACGTTCCTGTACTGGATCCTCTGAGATGGTGTATCTACATCGAAACGCAGGGGTAGCAAATTTTCGACATCTGATTATATTAGAAATCCATATAAAGGAACAGAATGGCCATTTTTTTGCTAAATCTTGAGGCACTGTCAATTATATTCATTGAAACAAATTGAATGAAAGCTATATTTTTGATGTGTCTTGTGCAAAATTTTTTTCTGTGTAAA